CCCCCCCCCCCCCCCAATAACATATGCACCTTGTTTGTGAAAGGGATGAAGGAAAAAAAGGATCTTTTCTGGAGAGACTCTTGGGGCAGGGGGGAAGAGAAGGTGTACACAGCCAGCAGCTGGGGAGCCTGGCATACAGCACATGCAGCTTTTTGCTTTTCTTTGGCAGAGGCTTAAGTGGCAGGAACTGCTGTTATCTTACTTCCTCAGTTATAATGTGCACCCCAAGTTCCAACTGCTGAATTGTAGTGGAAAAAATGTGTGTTTATATGAGGAAATACGGTACTGATGACAACCTTAATCCAGGGTTTGGCTCTTGCTCCCCTGCTGCAGGAGCTGTCAGTAATAGGGGTACTTCAGGTTAGCAAAGAGCAGTATCCAGATGCAGGCATCATTTCCTGGACAGTAGTTTCCCTTCTGCTGGCACATGCCCGACTGATCCGGTCTGTGAGGTTGGTTAAGTGGAAACCAATTTACCCCCATTTCTCTTATCCCACAGGCAGACTTCAGACTCAATAGGGAGGGTAATGCTGAGCCTGCCACACAGCTTAGTGCTGTGGCAGCCCCTGCGGGCTTCATTGTGTACATGCACACAACTAGGGACAGCCTGTCTTCTGAGGAGCTGGCATCACTGAAGGCAAAGGAGAAGTGGGCACAGAGAGAAGTGAAGGGACTTGCCTTGTGTCACAGCCAGAAGTCAAACCCAGCTCTCCTATGTCCCCATTCAGCACTCAGCTCTCCAGCAAGCCCCTTTGCAATCCCCACGGCTTTGGATGCCAGGCAGCAGCCCTTGTAGCCCTTCAGCAACTGCAAAGCGAGGGTGGACAGCAGTAAGCTAGTCCTGCCTTGCAGACCCACACACCATTCGGAGCTATTGTACCTCACCAGAGCTTCTCTGTGTACTCTGACGGATTAAACCACTCCTGTTAGCTCTAGGCAGGGCCCCACTAACTGGGCAGAGATTGAGGCAGGGGTGTACCTGGACTTGACCAAGACTGCTTGGAGCATCTGAGCCAAGTCTAGACCTCCCAGCATTGTAGCAGAGGGCTGAACATGCTGATTTGCAGATGGGGGAAGGTCTCCTGCTTGGAAGATGGGGGGTGCCTTTGCCAGGGCCAAGCACTGCTCAGGGACTGCCTCACTGGCCTTGTGCCTTTTGCCCCATTTCCCCCCTCTTGGCTGGCCCTGCTGGGGTTTTCTTTTCAATGCAAGTATCCATAAGAACCTGCCTTGGAGAGCTCTGGCATCTGGAGACGGGGAGGGGCATTTGGCAGGCAGGATGGTAAACCTGGGAGGAGGCTGCTTCTCTGCCTGCCCTCTGCTTCTCTTTTGGGGCTGGGGGACTTCCAGACCTCATTGGCCTGAGCGTGGGAGCCTGGGAAAATGGGTTGAATGGGGGGGAGGAATTTGGGGGGAGACTGAGTTCACATAAGGACAAGGTTAGTCTTGTGCAGCTGGTAAGTCTGGTATGGTGGAAGGGGAGGAGGGAGGGAAAGGGTGTGGGGGGGCAGATCAAAGCCCCCTGCGGTGATGGAGAGAGGGAGGGAGGAAGGGATGGAGGGAGTGGGGCAGGGGCAGGGACAGATGATGACCAGCTGGGGTGGGGTGGGGTGCAGGATGGAGCC